GGTCCTTATTGTAGTCAGTCAGTGTGTAGCGAGCCTGGCGCACTTAATTTGGTGGGGAATGGATGAGTTCAGACTGGAAGAAGTACCAGAGATTAAAGTGTAAAACATCCACCCTGTGAAAAAGCTAGACAGGTGAGGGGCAAACCTGGCCTCCCCACTCATCCAGAGGTGGCCCTGCAGGCAGGCACTTGCTGGCAGATACAATTTGCCAGGTACCCTGAGGTGAGTGAGGAAGAGCTTGGCGGCCTCCCCAACCACTGCCTCTGCTCGGCTGAGGGCAGCTCTCCGTGGATTTGCAAATTTCCCTCTCATAAGTTTCTCAGAAGGACAGTATATTGTGGCCCTTTGCAAAAGGAACAAGTCTTACCTTTAGGTAACTTCCCTTCTGAGTGCAGGGCCCTGGAGGAGGGAAAGGATAAGGGTGAGACGCATAAGAATCATTTCCTTTGTAGGTAATAGGAGGGGCCTTCAGAGGAAAGCCTGCCATGCCCATGGTCCCCCTCCATGTGAGTTTCCAGGTGGTGGGAGGGTGAGGCAGGAGAATGGCTTGAACCCAGGAGGTGGAGGTTGTAGTGAGCCAAGATCCTCCATTGCACTCTAGCCTGGGCAACAAGAGCGAAACTCCATCTCAAAAAAAAAAAAAAAAAAAAGAGAATCAAACGAACTATAGTCATGTACCAAAGACATCATGGCTTGGTAAGCTCTTTTCAGTCATCCCACACAGAAAGGGCACAATCTACTTATGTTTTCATTCATTGAATCTTCATATCGCTCCTATGAGGTATGACAGACCACCCCAGAAACTGGCCCAGAGAGGCTAAGCATGGGGGTCATGCAGTAAATGGTCAGGTGGGGTCAAATACTTTCTGTGGGTTAGGGAGAGTTCCTGACTGAGGCAGATTGATCCATCAAGCATCCAGCAGTCATTTACAACCTGCCTAATTGGTGGGGGGATGGGATTGAGTTCAGACTGGAAGAATACCAGAGCGATAACCACGAGGGTGTAAAACACTCCGCACCTGTGAAAAAGCTCGAAGCGTGAGGGGCCAAACCTTGGGCCTCCCCACTCATCCCAAGAGGTGGCCCCTCAGGCAGGCACTTGCTGGCAGATACAATTTGCCGGTACCCTGAGGTGAGTGGGAAGAGCTTGGCGGCCTCCCCAACCACTGCCTCTGATCGGCTGAGGGCAGCTCTCCGTGGATTTGCAAATTTCCCTCTCATAAGGTTTCTCAGAAGGACAGTATTTTGTGGCCCTTTGCAAAAGGAACAAGTCTTACCTTTAGGTAACTTCCCTTCTGATGGCAGGGCCCTGGAGGAGAGGAAAATAAGGGAGAGCGCATAAGAATCATTTCTTTTTAGGTAATAGGTGGGCCTTCAGAGAAAAGCCTGCCCATGCCCAGTGGTCCCCCCTCCAATGTGAGTTTCCAGGTGGTTTTCTTTTGCATAAATCACTGCATAGATTTCCAGGATCCCATACCTCTGGCAACAGCTGAAGGGATCGGATGGGCGCACCTGAGCCAGGGACAGCCAACCAGAGGCTGGTCTGTGGCTGTTGTGAAGTACCTGGTTCAAGCTTTGCCCCATTGAGAGATGAGATAACTGTGCTGGGCTCTTCATAGTTTCCTCTTGAATTGTATGTGAGTATGATGAGGGAATATTTTTACAATGCTAACTGATAGCTCTTCCTGATATTTCCTTTCTCCTTTCTGAGCTCCCCACACCTACCTTCTGACAGTGAGGGTTATTCTGTGCTCACCACTTAAGAGAGGGGAGTGTCAACTGCAATGAGCGCTCAAGTCTCTTCCCCACTTTGTTGTTTAGAAATCTGGGGCAGAGAAGGATTGGGAAGGTAGCCCCGGACAATAGACACACATACTTATATGAACA